CTTATGCGGGGAATTGACGAGGCCGGAATAAGTATGGAAATGCGAAATCGACTCACCTCCTCGGGCTTGGTATGCTCATGAGCGGGAAGGAGGGTGTGGGAAACGGAGCACTGTGTTGACGAGGCAAATTAGCGTTCATGTCCTGGAGCGATCTAGACGGAGACGCACCTGGAAAGCTCTGCGGATACGGAAGACGCGGTCGTAGGCTTCCTTGGGAGGAAGACGCTTAATGGCAGTCTGAACAACGTCGCTCTCCTCGGGAATCAGGTCATCGAATCTGAGAATAATCAGCTTGACTGCCTGCACAGACAGGTCAGGAGAAACATGTGTCCCAAATAAGCGACCAGAGAGAAATCGTGCACAATTGGACGTCCTATAGCGGCGGTAAACGTCAAGAGCGTCGCTGTCGCACAATATGCTCATCTGGCGCTCATCCTGGGAGGGCTGATGGCGGGGGTTGGCTACCTCAATCCGAGTTTCCTGTAGCCGGCAGCGTCGGTGTACCACTGGGCAAGTGGCATCATCCAGCGCTTGAGCCATGGGCGCTTGACAATGTAGTTGGTGAGAGAAGGAGCGGACATGGTGACTGATCCCAGATGGATGTAGATGGGAATCCAATTGAGGGCGTGGTGTGGGAGGGAAGATCGCGAAGGTCAGTCAAGCTGCAAAGAGTGACCCGACGTTGGAGATTGTGCAAAACGGAGGTCCGGCCGGGAGGACTTTCCCAAAAACATCCGATTTTGCAGCCTGAGGCATCAAATATTCTATGAGGATTCCGATCAATGTCATGTGATCATCTTGCCTCAGGCCTGCAGCCCTGGCGCTTGGGACCGGAATGAATTCAGCAGCTAAGTCACTCCACTCCACATGACTGCCGAAAGAGGTACGTTGATTGATCTTGGCCACAATCATCCGCGCGGCCCGGTTCTCGCCTTGTATTCCAATCTTCCCATTGATCAGACTTCCTATCGTTCACATATCTAAACCCGGTATCGCTTGCTGGTTTGGTATGGGGTTCATCATCCGTTGAATTACATTTTTGCTCCTACACTGGAGCTGTGTCACTGCTACCGGCCCTGCCCCGTCTGCACCTCCGAAAAGGCAAAATTACAGGCATATCAGCGCATTCGCCAACATCAGCTCAGTCACGCTTATTCAATCGTCTACGCCAGACGGTGTCGCTTCCTGTTACTGCTCGAATTAACAAAGAATATCTACGTCGAGACCTGGTTAGAATAGGGTTTGCTGGGTTCCGGAGCGAGCACCGACATGCTCGGTTCCGGGAGCCCTCGTTGATTGCAAAGACGGACAGAGAAAGCTGCTAGGGAAGCTGACCGGAGCGATGTTTTCCGACGGTCACGGCAATTCAGGAGCCGCCAGCAGCTCTGAAGAGCAGCAGATATCGCAGTCGAACAACCTTGCGTCATCCGACATCCAAGTTCCACCTGAAGCTGCGTCCAGCTCCAAGTTCGTCACAAACCTTGAGATATGGTCCACAAAGATACCGGATTACTACATTGCGCCATTCTGCGGCGCCAGTGCGGGTGTGGCCTCTGGGATTGTCACATGCCCCCTTGATGTGATCAAGACGAAGCTGCAGGCACAAGGCGGATTTCTCCGACGAGGCGGCGGAGTCGTTGAGGCGAAAACCCTTTATCGTGGTATGCTAGGTACTGGGCGGATCATATGGCGGCAAGATGGAATTCGGGGTCTATATCAAGGATTGGGTCCCATGCTCTTGGGATATCTGCCTACCTGGGCCGTATATTTGGCTGTCTATGACCGATCTCGAGAATACTTCTACGAAACCACCGGTAAGTATCTCTGTGTGTTCCTTTCTCTGAAGGTAGAATGTAAAGACTAATAATCCGCGTCACGTCAACAGATAGCTGGTGGCTTTCCAGAGGCTATGCGTCAATAACAGCCGGTGCTTGCTCTACTATAGTGACTAATCCAATCTGGGTCATTAAAACGCGGCTTATGTCACAAAGCCTCAAGTCCAACAGTGAAGGCTACACGGCTCCATGGCAGTACTCAAGCACTTGGGATGCAGCCCGCAAAATGTACAGGACCGAAGGGATTAGGTCATTTTATTCTGGGCTGACCCCGGCGTTGCTCGGCTTAACGCATGTCGCCATTCAATTCCCGCTATACGAATACTTGAAGATGGCCTTTACGGGGTACGGGATAGGGGAACATCCTGATAACGGTGGCTCCCACTGGATTGGCATATCTTGTGCGACATTCTTAAGCAAAGTTTGTGCCAGCACTTTAACCTACCCGCATGAAGTGCTACGGACAAGACTTCAGACACAGCAAAGAACATCTCCAGCGCCTTCTCCCGAAGGGATCTCATTTCGTGGAGGGTTAGATCACCCACAAGACCGCGGGAGGCCTCCAGGAGCGGCTTCATCGGACGGCATGCCCAACCGCCCGCGGTATACGGGCGTGATCCGTACATGTCAGACCATTCTGAGGGAGGAAGGCTGGCGCGCATTCTACTCCGGCATCGGGGTGAATCTATTCCGGGCTGTGCCGGCTGCCATGACCACAATGCTTACATACGAGTATCTCCGTAAGTTGATCGGTCACCTGCAACATGAGGGAGAAATGAAGCTGCGTATGGCAAACGATAGAGAAAGAGCCATGCTGCAGCAGGATGAGTAAATAAGCAGCGGATGGCGCATACTAGACGTGTCTTGTTCCTTTCCTGTTTCGGTTGAACAATGCAATCTTGAAACCCCTAGAGGTTGACTTACAGGCTTTCTCTTCTCACTAGGTGGCCAGTTGAGCTGAATATGTACTCATTCGTCTCCAGCTTTGACCATCCTATAATCGGTACCCTGGAGCATTGCGCGATCACTCGGCTGTCCTACGCTCAGCTCACGCCAGGAAAAGGCCTAAGAGCATGGTCATCGCTACGACATTTGTGGGACTTATGAACTCACTGATATATGGTCGTCATGCTTTGCAGAATATGTATCTTACAAAGCGGTCTTTGTTGTCACATTGTCGTTTATTTCACCCTTGACGGTTGCGTTGCATGATCTGCATCTGTACATACAAACATACATTATTATTCAAACCATATCGACGTTCTCAGCTCCTCGAAAAAAGCGCTACTAAGCAGATAATACTGAAACATTGAGCAATGTTTCCGATACGCAGACTCAATAGATCGCCCTCAAAACACCAAAATGATGTCTCTACCTCACTGAAGTGTTTGTTTTTGTTAAGGTACCGCGAGATGATGTCACTCTAAATCACGTGATCGAATAAGCGACAGATTTCTCCATATTGATTTTCCAATTTCTGAGCAATTTTCCCTCGATCTCAGAAACAACAACATGCCTTATGACAGCGAAAAATTCATGCAAGGCCTGCCTTTGATGAATAGGCACGGCTGCATTGCTTATTATCATGAGAGCTGTTATTTTTAAATATGAATGAGGTCATCATTGCAGATATCAATCTCTGTATGTTGTCTTGCAAGGAGGGCAGAGTCCCCAAGTTACCCTCGACTTTCCTTTGATATGATGAACATTCAATGAAATGGTAGATCCAGATTACAATACCCTCTGGATATGACTATTCACATACACTGAAAATTCTGATCATGGACTTCGAGAGATGAACTTGACAACGACGCATTGTGTGGAAAGGTTAACTTAGAAATTTTAGTGTGTCATTATCTTAATCCAAGCCGCAACAATCATGAACATTCTTTCTTGGACTCCTTTTTACCTCAATCAATCTCAAGCCTTTGCTATCATACAAATCCAACACAAGACTACCTCGACCGATTTTGCCGCTCTGCATCTCTGCTCTCTTCTAATGCCTGCTGTACCCATGATTGGTCAGACTTTTCCACGGAGAACTTCTGGGCCCTTGTAGTCGCGGTGACTGGGGACGATTGTGCCTCGCGGCGAGCGGAGTTGATGGAACTGATGCAGTAGGAGCATAGAATAATTGCCATGGTAAAGGCAGCTATCGGAGCATTGAGAGACTACTATGTTGTTACTTCAGGGCAATAGAATGCCACTTGTGAGACAGAGGTGTGACAGCGCTGGAAGGATATTCAATAGTTTGCACTTACTCCGGTTGTCCTCCCCAAGGGTTTCCCCGTTCCTCCTTTTTGAGTCATGGTAAGATACTCCAATCCGTCTTGACTTCTTCCATTCAATGTCTTCCCAAGGCAGATCTTGGTGGTGTGAAGGTGGGCGGACATGGGCGTAACGTTTTCCCCGAGCTCCTTTATCAGATGGAGGGCAGGAAGATAAGCAATTAAATACGTTAACCAGTACCACAAATACAGGTTCCTGTTGCTGCAAAATCCCAGCCACGGTATCGTGGGGGTAATCAATCAGTTCCGCGTCAAGCTTAGGTTCTTTGCTGTGCTAGAATCGCCTTAGAATACCATCGTAGAAAACAGTACCACAATTTGGATCGGTGGACCACTGTACTTAAGCGGCCAGCCCTCATTTGATGTTGAATACGAATTAATCAGCTCTTGGAGTCGGCATTTTAATGCCTATTCTGGTTAAAACAATTGATGGCGAACACCCCCGAACGTCATAGTGTAGTTATCTCCGAGGCCGGACGGAGCGGAGGCGACGGTGTTGCTGGTTTTGGTTTAGCGCATATAAGCACAGGCGAGCCCCCGAAGAATAATTAATCGATCTTTCGTCGACATCACAACCTCGGGTACATCATCATACTCTATCAACATCTCTTTTTGCCTCATCATAAATCCATCATAAATCCAACCGCGCATCACCTTTTAATCGCTAGGTATACGAAAATCAAACACACATCCATCAAACATGTTCCGTCGTTTGGCTACTGTCGCCCCTCGCTCAGTCGGCACTGTCGTGTTGCCTCGCATTACGCCTGCCATTTCCGGCATCCAGGCTCAACCCATCAACAGGACGTCTCCTGCTCCTCAGAGGAGAAGTTACCACGAGAAAGATAAGTAGATCGATGATTTTGGATGTTTCGTCATGACCAGGCAAATGCTGACCTTCTTTGCACTGCTAGATCATTACAATAACCCACGCAACGGTATGTTTGCAATCTTGATATGCTGCTTTTTTTTCCGCTTTTCCCCTCGAAGCGTCAATGGGAGACAGATGGATCGTCAGCCGTGGTCTCTTTCTTTTCAAAGAGAGTCCTGTCAAGCCCGCGGGGCGAAGTCTCGTCAAATGAAGACGGATCCTACAACGGGGGGGATCATATAAGCGGTCTCTACACCTGGGAGGGCACTTCGATCGTTTTTTTGGACCTTGACTTTCCCAACGGATCAATCACTATACAACGCTCTACGAGAAGACTGTTATGACCAATCAACTTTCATCTGTCTCCTATGCGCTCGAGGAGGATCTCAAATTCTCAGCATTCTTCAAGCTCTTGGATCAACCATGTACATGCTTCTGCAGGAACTGACATATTTGTAGTTGGCTCACTACCCAAGGATGCCCCTGATGTCGGTCTCGGTCTGGTCGGTGCACCTGCTTGCGGTGACGTGATGAAGCTTCAGATTCGGGTCGATAAGGACACCAGCAAGATTACCGACGTCAAGTTCAAGACTTTTGGCTGTGGTAGCGCGATCGCCAGCTCCAGCTACCTGACCGAGTTGGTGCGAGGAATGACGCTTGATGAGGCCGCTAAGATCCGGAACACCGACATTGCCAAGGAACTTTGCCTGCCCCCCGTCAAGTTACATTGCTCCATGCTTGCCGAGGATGCCATCAAGTCCGCCATCAACGACTACTACACCAAGAACCCCAAGGCCGCTAAGACTGATCTTTCTGGCACTGCCGCTTCCATTCCCAACGTGGAAAAGACCGACGGTAGCACCGCGAGTCTGTGATCTGCTTGTGCATGAAAAGTAACAATATATTCATCAAACACTATTACGGCGATACCAGATGAAATCTGTTAGGGTTTATTTGTTCGATTGACTGGCGTACCGAGACTGCAGATTGCTTGGATCATTAAAGCATGCGTTACTTCGTTGAATTCAACTGACGGGTTGAATTGTTTGTCTATGTATATTTTTCGTTTCTCATTTCTCCATGCTTTTTACTTTGTGCCTTGGAACATGGCATCATGATCATGAATCTCGTTCAGTCATAGGTTCGTCAATAAGAATGTGCATCTCTGTGATATGATTTCATTTCAGAGGCCTTCTCACGTAGTTTTCGTACGCTGCTTTTAGTTTCAACAAGGCTGTAAGTAAACTCGTTCTCGGCATTCCCTGAACCGTCCTTCCTGTAAGCAAGGTATCGCATTAAATCATGAGGTATCAGGCTGAAATGAACAGATATTCGATCTATCTAAATGAAAGACGTCTAGCTTCTTTTTGTACAAATCTCTATACATGTGGAGAAAACAGAAAAGGGGGGGAAGAAACGAAAAACGCCGTCGCTGATGATGCACAGACAGACCGAACCCATCCGATCCGTCCTGTCTAGATGATGAAGATTGAAAGAAGATTGTACAGTGTTACAAGGACGTCGGACTGGAGAAAATCGAGCGGTATGAAGAAGAGCTGGCCGCTCTTCTATCCGATCAACCCGAGCCGACTTTTCATAGACAGCAGAGTCTCGTAGACGGAGAGTTTCAGTTCAACCCGGAGATAGCCTGTCCAGGCCCAGAGGAACCGCAAGAAGTTGAGTGGGCGGAGGATGCCGCCGGTTTCGTTGATGTTCTCCATCTTCTCTTCGAAGACGGTACGAGTAGCGTAGCGGGCTAGGATAAGGAATGTGCGTACGGGTCCCTGTCGGGTATGTAGATTTTCGTCCAGACTGCGGGCTGAAGGTGGAGAGCAGGCGATGTTAGCCGGGAATTCGAGAAGAAAACAGAAAGATGGAAATGAGTGCATCGTGAGCGAGTATAACTTACTCAGATCGTTTGTCTTCAGAATCAAAAGGATGATCCGGGGTACCTGGCCGAGCAACTCAACAAGCTGTTGCAGCATGCCCTCCCCGAGAGCACCGGAGATGTTCTCCTTTTCGGCAGCCGTGCGTGGAGAAGCGACATCCTTCTTGGCTAGCACGGTATAATCTCGTCCGGTGATTGCGCTCGCGAACAGGGGAAATTGCTCGTCTGTGATACCTGCGACCTTGCGCGCATACTCGCGCATGCGGCCTTCATCCGCCTCGATGACCGCCAGCCAGAGCTTAGCATAGTTACGACGTAAATCGCGTGGAATGTCGCGGTACAGGCCGTGGTCGTAGAGGATGATATCAAAGTTGTGGCGGCGTCGGTTGGGGTTCTTGCGAATGGCGATATTACCGCCGTGGGGGTCGCAGTGTAACGGGGCATTGTCTCCGAAGATCATTTCGTTGAAGATATGCGCGAACGCGGCGGAGACCTCGTCGCGGTCAATATGGTTGGAGTCCAAATATTCGAGATCATCCGGACGATGGCCCGAGAGGAACTCCATAACCAAAATTCGCTTCTGAGCCCACATGACTGATTGAGGCGTTAGCAAAGCCACTGGACTTCTTTTTCACCATTATAAATGGAACAAACCTTCCGGAATCACTAACGGAGCATCCGAGCGCTTTTTAAAGTACTCACTAGCCCTCCTGGCATTCTCTGCCTCCATGCGGAAATCCAATTCCTGAGGTAGCGAGAAATCCATTTCATTCGAGAGCCACTCTAGATCATATTCGGGAAAGAATCGTTTCAGCATCGAGAAAGTAAACCGTGTCAATGCCAGGTCCAAGGGCACCCATTCGGCCAATGCAGGATGCTGCACTTTAACAGCAACCTTCTGACCAGTCTCCTTCAGCGTACCAATGTGGACCTGGGCAAGAGATGCGGCTCCAATGGGCAATGGCTCAAAACTCGAGAATAATTCATCGATGCGATGGCCTGTGTCGGTGACGAACATTTCCTCAACGGACTCGATAGACGAGACGGGACACTTGTCTTGAAGGGGGACGAAGGTCGTCGTCCATTCCAACGGAAGAAGATAACCCATGCTACTGAGATGCTGGCCCAACTTTATAAAGATAGACCCATTCTTCTCGAGAACACGTAGGGTTCGTTCTGCGCAACGCTTATGACATGCTCGGATGGACTCTTGTCGCTCTTCTTCTGTAGGAGTCTCTTGCTTGAGGGTGACTCGGTAACTAGAAAAGCCCATGTAAGTGACACGCAAATAGTCTAAGATGCAAGAAGTCCTGGACTCACTCGTTGATACAGACAGCCAAAGTCCCCACAACTCGGCCTGTACGCTGCGCTGCGCGATATAGATGTCGTGCATCGTCTGATAAGGTCACCGCTGCAGCGCCGACGACACCAGTGATGATTGCATACTTTAAGAACCTCCTCCGCGACCGCTGTGAACCTGAATGACCCGATCTATTGTCCCGAGACTCGACCTCCTCCGGCAAGGTAGGTGTTTTTGTAGAATAGAACCGGGAAGACGGACATGTGCGGAACGACGGTCGTGCGTGTGAATAGTGCCGAAATATCCCTCTCAATAGACTTTGAGTGAAGGCCGGAGATCGCAGAGAAGACGTAGACGAATGATTGCGCTTCGAAAATTGGCTCAAGAAGAATCCATTCGGATTGTATCTGAACACTGCCGCTGGATCAAAATCCGATGCCCGCAATGGAGTGCGGAGCGCCGCTCTCATACCGAACACAATCAGCACCGTGAACTTGACGACCACAGATCACTCGTAACCTCGAATCCCAAAAGTGCACTCCGTTTGTACACGCTCATTTCATTTGTATTGAACACAAAATCTGCCAGGAGGAATCTTAGGTGGCGGTTGTCGCCGCGATTCGGGATTTTTTCTCGCCCGCTGTCGGCCCGAAGGATGTTTCACGTGATCTGGAGATATAGAAGGTGAGCGTCAAAGGCTGTTCTTAGAGCAAATCTTTCTTAGTCCGTTCAACGGACTCAGAGAAATAACATAACTTTTTCAAGATCTCATACACCATTCGTAGTGTCCTGGCGATCTTGTACAGATTGCCCCCTGCATATCGTACGGCACTTGGTATGGTACGGCAGCAAACCTACCACACGAATTAAAACATCATAGGATATCCAGGTATACAGACCCCAAACGAGAGAAATGCCATTTTTGTATTATTCAACAATTCGACTAACCCCATTCAAATTACTATACATGAAAATGCGCCAAGGAAGACAATGATAACTCAATGTTAGCTCTTTGCAGACCAGGTAGAACACGAAGAATCTTCAGGGACGCCCATATGATGCAATGCAATTGGATGAAAGGCTGTGGAATTCTACAGGCTCTCAATTGAGAGCTAAAATGCCAAGCGGTGTCGAAGCAAAGGGGACAGAGCTAGAAGAAGGGAAAGAGAGTGCAGAACATGCCAGAGTTACCAGTCACCATCAGCATGTGTTTGACGCCGGCGTCGCGGGAGGATGGAGGGTCGACGTGATAATGAGCTCTGCGACCTGTTGTCTTCCTCAGGTAGAAGTTCGACATGAGACAGTCTATTGCCAGACATACCACGCGGTAGCCGATTTCTGGAAGCGCTTGAGGCATTGGAGCCCTTGCTTGCACATACGGCAAGAGCGGGACTTGCACCATCTCTACTAGCAGGCCGCAGCGCCAGCGCTGACCCACTGAGAGCATTTCGCGGGTGCCTTTGGACCTCGCGCCCATCGAAGTAGCTTTTTGACTGATTCGTGCGAGGAACCGAAGGAGTACTCGGAGCAGACTGGTTTGTCAAAAGACCCGGCGGAGTAGTAGCTGTACTTCCTCTCCTCACACCTGGCCTGCGCTTCCCTAATCCATAGGATTCGCTTCTCTCATTAGCCTGAATGAGTTTTCCAGCCATGTCCCGCACGAGAATAGCTGGATCATGCTCCAGTTCTCTAATTGCTTCAAGAAGGCCATACTCGGCCAGAAGACCACCTTGGTCTTCGCTGGCCTCACAGATACTGGATATGATTCGCAGAAGGTTCAAGCGAACAGCAGCTTTGTTGTGATGTAATTTTTGCCTGATCCGGACAAACATGTCTTCCCGGGCGAATGTCAATGCGATGGGAGGGCTCAGCCTTAGGAGCTTTTGAAGCGGTTCAAGAAGATTCTCAAAAGCATTAGCCTTCGAGACTGTTAAGCATCTGATAATGGACTCTGTGAATGATGGCTGATCAGGGTGGTAACTGAGCAAGTGCTCCTCGACCTTCGCCGTTTCTTCCTGTAGCCTACGGAGATCAGTTTAAGCCACGTCTGCTGATAGGCACAATGAGCTTACCAGGTAAAGATGGCATCCAAGGCAGTCACCTGCCAGTAAGGGTCGGAAAGCAGGGATATATAGAAAGGCAATCCTCTATTGCGCCATAGCTCACGACGGCCCACTTTTCCGGAATGTGCCATGTCGCAGAGGATTGGTAAAGCGAATTCCTTTAAGGGTCGCTCAGTCTTAACAATCTTTTGGAGCAGCGGCACGATACCGTTCAATGCAGCATCCTCTTGCCGGGACTTATTTAGACGACACATGTTGTAGATCGTATTCAGGATCTGGTTGGAGACTTCTCGAAAGTGTGGCCGTTTGATGGTTGACCGCAAGAGATCAGTCAGCACGTCAATGGCGTTTGAGTTCTGCAGAGAGTCAAGCGTAGTTGACAGCATGGACAAGTTCTTGATAAACTTCAACATCGTTATTTGATGAGCAGGAGTCATGCGCTTCAATTCCTTCAGCACCCCTAAGTATTTAGCGTCAGAAAGGTATGACCAAGCGAGGCAAGTATCCAAACTTACTGTGCAAAACAGTTCGTTCGGCAACCATCTCCTTCACATGATTTTCAGCCTGAGAGAAGACGAAGAAGATGCTGGCAATGCGCCCCTCGACTATTTCGGCGAGTTCTCCCCCTTCGTCCAATACTCGGCTCAAGACGAGTGAAAGGGGGTCTAGGACCGAACTGCGAGACAGGATTCGGCAGAAATCATTCTTTGGCGTTGATCCCTTGCCAGTGTCAGACGTTGACTGCATAGAGTCTGTGATGAACTGGACTTACTTGCAGCTCAAAGACGCTCCAAATTCCATTGACGCCTATAAGGACCAGATCTCGTTCATCCTCATAATCGTCTTCCAAAAATTCCACAAGGACATTCAACCCTCCGGCACTGACAAACATCTGAAGAGTCAGGGTAGAAGTTTGATACATCTGCTGTACAAAAGCAGCTGCCTCCAGTCGGATCTCGCGCGGGTACTTCTTCGAAGCGAATTCATTGATGATTGGGATTCCACCAACGAAACACAAGTTCTCTTGAATCTCGTAATCCTCATAGATAATTGCATTGACAATTTTCAGGAGACATGATACGACGTCGCGTCGACGGCACGTATCAAGAATCTCTAGTATCGGTAGCATGCCGTGGGCGCTCATAATGATATTTTTCGTTTCCGGAAGATCACAGAATATCGTCAACAACTGTTCTGAGATATCCTCAAGTACGTCTTCATCTTGAGAAGTCTTCAAAGAGCTTACTAGCCCTTCGACTTGACCACGGAGCCTAGCATACTTATCGCGCGCAATGTTGGCTTCCAAGTCCATTTCATCGAGCCCTTCCTCTAACTGGGCGAATGGATCATCTTCGTCGTCTTGGTCTCCGAGCCAAGAATTGTTTGAGTGTCGTGAATTGAGCATCAAGGTGCTTCTATCCGAGCTACCATCGCTGTCCGGCTTGTTTAGGGCAACCTCCTCAGCCCCCAAGATATCAGAGAAGTCTTCATCTCTCTCGTTCTCGGCAAATCTGTGAATTTCTACCGCTGTTCTATGACGCTTGGTTGAGAGCTGCCTCCGTAATTGGGGTACCTGCTCGTCATCCTGAGAGGGTGTGTGATATCGGACTATCTCCTTTGACGGCGGGAGGTCTGCTAAATTCGAGGGATATCGATCTTCATCGGTCTCCTGAAACAGGTCAGACAAACAATCATCAACATTCGGATAAATATTAGCCTCCAACCATGCTTACTTTCACAATGTTAAGTTTTCGGCCCAGAACGTCTTCGTCAGTTATTATGAGATCAGAATAATCCTCTACTGAGTTCTCCTTGTAAAATGAGGCTGGACGAGCCTGTCTCGAAGGTGGAACAGGATTCTGCGTCAGAATTGGGACGTTATGTACGAAAGGAGTAGACCTTTTGGGCTCCATCTGGAGCGGCGAATTTTGGGCGAATCCATCGTCCGCGCCGGTCTGCTTGAATGGAAACGGTCGGATAGTTTGCAGAGGATCCGACTCTCCGCAGTGCAAAGTAGTCCGAAACGAGTCGTTGAAGTCTTCAAAGCTATCCTCGGATTTGATAACCGTCCCATCAAGTGAGGCAAATGCCTTGAGCTTCTCAGAGGAAAGCATTCCTCCGAAATTATCATGCGGCCGAAGATGTGGTAGCTGCAGCGCACTAGGAGAAATGGCAGTTGCAAAGTCATCGTCCCAATTATCTTCGGCAGTTGCGTTCGACAACAGAGATTGGTCTTTGGCATTGCTGACAACGGGGGCTGGAAGAGCGTCTTTAGTGGGGGTGTTTCGAGACGGCGGCTGATTGCGACGAAGGGGACTTGGACTCTGATGATCGTGTCTGAAGGGCTTCCGTAAAGTTCCCGCACCAGGAGATCGCAGAGCCTCGTTCCATTCTTGGACGCTTCTGACCGCTTCTTCATACTCCGTAGACTTCTTCGGCACCACTGAGTCCGATCTACGAGCATTCACGATCCAAGGGTGTTTCAGGAGCTTTCTTGCAGAGACACGGAGATTAGGATCTTTCTGGAAGCATTGCATCAGGAAGTCTTTGACTGCCTAGTATCGTCATTAGAAAGGATGTCTAATCGACAGGGGACAAAGGACTTACCGGAGAGGCGCCTTGTGGAAGAGGAGGATGGTCATCATTAACAATACGGAACAGCGCCGGCATGGGCTGAAGATTGTAGTAGGGAGGTTTTCCTTCAAGCAATTCGATGACCGTACACCCGAGACTCCAGATATCTGAGGCTGTAGTTGCGCCTGAAAGTTCAATCACCTCGGGAGCCATCCAGTACGGCGTGCCAACGACGCTCGATTCGCTCAGTCCAGTAGTGCGGCTGGCGACACCGAAGTCTGCAAGTTTGACAAGTCCCTCCTTTGTCGTGAGGATGTTTGCGCCTTTAATATCTCTATGAATGACACCCTGTTCGTGCAGATATAAAAGCCCATGGAGAACTTGCGACATATATAACCCGACCAAATTTTCGGGAAAGCGACCGAAGTTCTTGGAGATAGAGTGCAAGGAGCCATTCTCACAATACCTACGTTTGTTAGCACCTCCGATATTTATCCGGTCGATGGACAAAGAGACATACTCCAAGATAATGTTTAAAGTTTCAGCAGACTTGACGAAACCATGGTACTTGACGATATTAGGATGCTGCGGCCATTCAGTTAGCTCCGTGGAACGGCTGTGTTTGTTTGCACCTGGGTCTCACATCTAGGTTCTTCAAAAGGTCGATTTCCAACTGCAATAGCGTATATCGTCAGTAACGGCGTTCCTCGCAACAGACCGTCGGATCCAAATGCCATACCATTATAACTCGCAATTCGCTTTTCGGGAGGTCGGCCAACTTGATCTGCTTCACAGCAACAGTCTCCCCAGTGTTCCAGTTTAGCGCCCTATACACTGAACCGAATGCGCCTCTACCCAAACAGTCGCCCAATTGCTTCAACGTGCCAGCGTTAGCAACTCAAGGATTGCGTACACGTAACAGGGCCATATACGTACATAATCTTTGAGCTCAGCGACATCTTTCGCAGATGACTTTACCACTCTGCCCTCGCCAGATTTTTCGTCCCGTTTCGAGGGGCTGGATCCGAGTTTGGCGACTCGCGCTTTGGCTGGAGTTCCAGGAGTCCTCGAGGACGGAGGCGGCCCCTCATTCCCCTCACTAGATCTAGAGACCATTGCCGGAGAATCCAGAGGTAGGTACCCTCTTTGTATTGAGTCGCTAGTCTCCGCGGTTGTCTCGGACCAGGTGGTCTCAGATGGAAAATGATCGATAAAGAAAAGGCAGGAGCCAGGGGTTGGTCGGATCAATCATGTCAGCACGCTCTGCCATGGGAAGAAGACTGTTAGTAAAGTAATATAGCTGGTACAGGGAGAAGAATGTGTCGGAAAAAATCCGCTCGCCAACAAAATGGCATGATGAGAAGTTTAAGAAACATACAGGGCCCCTTCTTGCTCTCACGGTCATCGACATGCGCTGAGCATACACGCGTCCCTACACATGCACATCAGAGGCCTGCTTCTGAAATGCTAAGTTTGTCTTCTTATTAGTTGAACTTATCGTAGAAGAATAAGCTCACGATGGACCAGGAAAGTCATACTTACTGCTGTGTTCGCTGTTGCAGAAAAAGTAAAAAGCAATGTTTTGAACTTTTGCTTCTCCACAAGGGTCAGCTCCCGTACGGACCATGACGCAGCGACCGGCTCCTTCAGTATCTCCGATCAGCCTTATCAGAGCCGATCTTACGATCTTGACAACCTAACGATATCAGTGGTATCCTGCTCAAGCTAACCATCGTTACAAGTGAGGGACTAATCCCCTTTGTCGTTTCCATTGTCTTTCCTTGCCCAAAACGCCTTCGCAATGAAGTCTTCCCACTCGCTGGGCATGATGATCGACTGGTCTATCTATTTACATGACATGGTAATATTTCCAAATGCTGCTCTAAAAAGGGTATCTCAAACCATTATGCTACTAATGACCCCGGTATATTTCCTGCGCTTCTGCGCGCTTCACGCAAGAGACGGTGAACGTCTGATACAAGGTACAGGCTTCCTGCAATTACCAAGGGGCAGTCGCCAGCCTCGGTACAAGCCCAGTTGATGGCAGCAAGAACGTCCCCGCCAAATGTACGTACGTCTTGGACACCTGGGATTGATTGAATACAGAGAGCCAATTCTTCTGTATCCGCTGCTTTCACCCATGGCATTCCATCGACAGGACCGAATGCCGTGATAGCGACCTTATCTCCAGATTTGATTATCGAATGGAAGAGCGCGGTCACATCCTTCCCACGCGACGCTGCAATAACCCAAGTGATGTCACCCTGAGGACGCAAATTTTTGTCCACATACTCTCCGAGAACCTCAGCCGACTGGCTATTGTGCGCACCGTCGAGCAAGACAGGCTCTGTGCGGGCGGTGAGAGGACTGAGGGAGATTTTCTGCAAACGTCCTGGCCACTCTACGTTTTTGAGGGAAGGCAGAAGCATGTCCACTTCGAGCCCTGGGCGAACCTTCGCTAGGGCGAGCCGAAGAGCTGATACCGCACAGGACATATTAGCCCGTTGATGACGCTGTAGATCAAGCTCCCTGAAGATACGGCCCAGGGATGGTGACTGGGAGCATATTGTATCAGGATGCGCGTAGACAGCATCGATCTTCAACTCGTTAACACGATCTTCAAGGGTCCTAATCACTTCGGGAGCGTTGGTGCCGTCAACCACACACGGAACACCAGGCTTCAATATCCCGGCCTTCTCGCGGGTGATTAATTCTAACGTATCTCCCAGAAAGGCCTGATGATCCAGCCCAATTTTCGCAATAATCGACACCAATACATCGCTCAGCACATTCGTAGCATCCAAGCGACCACCCATTCCCACCTCGACCACACCAACCTCGACGTGTTCATGATTGAAGATCTCAAATGCCGTGGCAGTGAGCAGCTCAAACTCACTTGCCCCTATTCCCAGTGACTGATCCCTTAATCTGACTCTTTCCTCAATCTTGCGGAAAAGCGACTCCTGCACAACGCTCTCACCTATGGTGATGCAGTCCCATCGATCGATGAGATGAGGAGAAGTAAAGCGACCACAGCGTACACCACCCGCAGTCAACATGTGCGACAAATAGGCACTAATGGAGCCTTTGCCATTGGTTCCAGCTATGTGGATGGCCTTCCATGACAGAGGAGTCTGTTGGAGGAGCCTAGATATGCGACCAAGACCGAGCTCAATCATTCCTCCGATCGTGTGACGTCTGTAGTTTTATCAGAAACAATCCTCATGATCAAGAACGATTCCGGACTGGTTAGGCAGTCATGGAGACAATCAAAGTCGGCTCAGACTTAAGGATTTCAGAACGTGGTAAAAGAAATTGATATGAAACTGCTCAAGCTCAGTAGTGCAGATCCTTGCAACTTTCTGATCAATTTCGGCTGACTTGAGGCCGGTTGACATAATTTGACAGCCGGGCGATAAGGATCTGCTGCCTGAGCCCTGAGGCACCCAGTATTTTTCCCGAAATGAGGGGGCCTTACTCCGTAGCCGCTGAACTTCCCCTAAGGGAAACTCTGCGTGCTCCGTACTGCATTGTACGCACAGTTCTGTTATTTTCCCCAGCGCCACATCCCAGCCTCCTTACGTTCCATAGTCGCAGCCTCAGGCGCGAATATCTTTGCCTCCGCTTCCCTGTTGAGCAAAACTGAGATCTTGCCGCTTTTCTCCATCAATTAGTCCAAAACTACGGAGGGCCTAACCTTACCCTGTACTCCGTTGTCTGTACGTACAAGGGCAGACCATCATCATTATTCTTGCGCCCCCCTCCGCAAACGTCGCGCTTTTCTTTCTGAATAATTTGCGACCTCTTGGCCGTGACTTTTTTTTAAACGCAGTTTTGATGGGATTTACCTGAGGTTTATCTGCTAAATCCGCGTACACTTTCCAGTCATGGGTATCCCGTAAGTTTGACTAGTATTCTGATTTTCAACGCGCTCTGGGCTTGTCGCCCGTCGGCGCATGGGACAGCTACCCTTACTGATATGCGCGCGCAGAATGTACCGTGAGCCCTCTCCTGAGGCCAGCAAAAACAAACCCATTAAAGATCCTTCTGCCGCTGCGCGTTCTGCAATCCGTCGCCAGGCCACTATTCGTCGCCCTTCGCGTCATAGTACTTCCACCTTACGAAGCGCTTCGTTACGTTCACCCTTCCCTCGTGAGATCGTAGACGAGATTGAGCGCGAGGCGCATGGATTACATCGTCACATACGGTCCCCTGTCCCGAATACCACCTCCGGTGAAGATCCGTTCGATTTGAGTTCCATGATCAGCGATGCCAACAGGCGCGAGGCTGGTCAACGCTTGCTGCACGAAGCCCTTCGCCATGGACGTCCCGGCCAGCGAATGAGGATTCCTCGCAATACCTTCAATTCAGATTCGTATCGCCGCCCTTCACCAGGGGTTGACTCTGGCCGCCGACAGAGCTCAGAGCATACTGCCGCTTTTACGCCAAGTTTTGCGCCTGCTATTGCATACCACAGAAGAGTATCTCCGCCGCCCCAGACGCGCCCAAGCCTTTCATCTTTCCCCCCAGAGGGTTTTGAGGTCGTTGGGTCGACTGTACCCTTGCTAAGGCGAGTTGGTCGGCGGTCTGTCAACGAGGCGAACCGGGCGATGCATCGCGACATGACTGTTGATGGTCTCGGTGACCGTCAACGCAGCATGAGTCCAGATGATGACGCTTCGAATGACGCGTGGGAAACCCTTTTGACTACAATTACGCCCGATGACAATCTTCCTAGCGCTGATTCTTCCTTTGCTTCAGCGTCGGCATCCGGGCTGAATGCATCTGGGAGCGCGGAGTCAAGAAATCAAGGAAGCTCTTCTCAGACACTTCCTAGCTCCCTCGATTCAAGTACAGCAACGGTGCGGATGGTGCTGGATCCGTACCCAGAATATATCAATCCATGTGACTATCCTAGTTCCACCGATTCTGATTCTGCATCGGAAGGAGATTTTAATCAGCTCTCTTTGTGGCGGCGCTACCGTCGCCGAATGCACCAAATGAGTACTTCCAGACGCTCAGATGACTTGCACTCAACAATGAGTAGCCATCCTCCTATTCCCACAATCTCATTCGCCTTCTCCAACTCTTCCACCGATCCAGAACTGCAGCAGATGCAAGCGATATTGGATCGGCTTGCTCGTAGGGAGGTCATACCTGATGACTGGTGGGCAGCAGCCGGACTGTCTCCCGCCATTGGCCACAGGCTTGGCACAAACGACGGTTCGAATGACACCGAAACTACGGATGCATCGGTTAGACCGTTATGAAAATTCTTTTTGACCTGTTATATGATTATTCCTTCTTGGTTCTCGATCAGGGATCAATTGCTCGGGGTGTTTCCGGTCTCAGCGAGAAGGATGATGGGCGTTCCTGGGTTTCCTGAGCTAGTTTTATTTCTGTAGCTCGAGTGAGCGGAGCTCTTTCCTTTGGGTGTTGCTTGAGAGTCCTATAAATCGTGTCAGAATTTCTGTGCACATATGCCCCAGTTGTTCCTGGTTAGCTGTTTAAAGCCAAAAGACCAGTGATTTGCCCAATCAAAACCGAGTGTCGTCTGGGTTAGTGACTGCGTAGGTATTCTCTGGAATCAAACTGTGACTCTAAAAGACGTGCATGGCTAGTCCTCATGTTCTTTGAAGTTGAAGATAGCTCATTTAGCATACTTGAAGCTCGTAAATTTGAATACCGTCAGTGATCATGACCATAATTGAATTCAATCAAGGAAATAGCTCATTCACTTAGTCTTCATCACTGTAGGCAACTCGACCAGCGATGATGTCTGTAGAAAGCCGTCGAGTCCTCTTGTGACGTAGCTGGGGTTTCCGCTGCTGCGAAGATAGAACCCCACTCCAATGACCGAGCCCCGCCGATTGCGTTTATTTATTTCAATGATTAGCTTCCCTAAGCAGCGATAAATTGTTATTTTGACATATATATGCATTTGTGTCGTGTTAAAACTTACCGTAAAGCACCTTTTGAGAGCAATCGCATACTATCCATTGCGTTTCCAATACTCGGGATACAGGGAGCTTTCACATTGCCGTCTTTTGTTGAAGTTCTCTCGGTTGATCTCGAGGTTGCATTTGATTTGCATCGATCCTCGACCTTCCACAGCATGGAGAAGCAAGTAGACAGGCTAGTGGATAAAGTATGGAGTGAGTTTACTCGGCTGCATCTGATATTTGATAGCGCATACATCTCCAATGTCATATGCCAGACGTTATAAGCCCTGCAACATGTAACTAACTACCTATGTCACAGAGAAGTTCCATTCTCTACCAGAAAATGCTCGCTTGATGATTGCTATCAGTGGCATTCCAGGTTCTGGGAAGACAGGACTTGCCAGCATTATGGCCAATCGCATCAACCAGCTCTACTCAAAACAATATGCAAATCAGCCGCCCATAGCGGCGGACATCCCTATGGATGGCTATCACCTCACACGAGCACAACTGGCTCAAATGCCGGATCCAGACTACGCTGCTGCGCGACGTGGTGCGGCTTTCACCTTTGACGGCGAGAAGTTTCTGAGGCTAGTGCAGGCACTGAGGGAGCCGATAACATCGGAGACGCGCATATTGTACGCTCCAAGCTTCGACCATGCGGTCAAGGATCCGGTTGATGACGATATACCCATTGCTCCGACGAGCAGGATAATATTCTTCGAGGGAAACTACCTCAGTTTGAACAAGGAGCCGTGGAGCTCTGCAGCAAAGCTCATGGATGAGCTATGGTTCGTTGAGGTCGATTTCGAGACTGCCCGGAAGAGGCTGGTCCGGCGACATGTTCAAGCGGGCATCGCAAAGGATGAAGCTGAGGCGGACAAACGGGCGATGGAGAACGATCTCGTCAACGGACGGGAAATTGTCGATAACAGGATGGATGTTCAAGAGATTATTACCAGTTACTATGATACCCGGTGGGACAGGTGATTGCCCTATCGTTCTCGATGAATGGTCATGTTTCGTTTTAGGCGTTTCGACCATATACAACCACCACTTGATGACTCTTTATGACCTCTGGGTCCCTGTCAATTTGCATTATGAATTACGTGATGAGAACCAGGACTACTTATCTAGGTCTGCCTCCTAAAAGAAATATGAAAGCAGGTAATGCTCACCAACCCAGATACCAAATCGGCACAAGACATGTAGGCAACCTCCACTGTATCAGTAAGGGAGACTGGGTATGGAATATATTACATAAGCTTAAACCCCCCAGATGCTCCCAATCGTGTCGCAGCCCTCTAACCACATCCAGGATTAGTGCCGTATGGTAAGATTGGTCTTGGGCAACAAATTACCTAAGTTGCTCAGGGACTATCGATCGGCAGGGTCATAACTGTTTTGAGACACAAGGCGCTCCGCGAAGGTCGTTTGCCCCCTATGATTCCCGCTTTGCTTCTCCAACTGATGATGATTCTGCTTTGAGATCTTATCCGTTCTACTGATTATTGTCCGTCGCTCTTTATGCAGGCATTCATTTGATTCGTACCCCTTCAACATACGCTCTTTTCTATAGTATCATCCAGTCGCTCTTTGTTTACAATATTGTCACTCATTCGCCTTACCGTATTTGCTTCTACGACTCTTCACTCCTGATCGAATAACTCGTATTGATTGATACCTTTGTCCGAAGTCTCGACCCTCACCATCAAAATGTTCTTCTCGAAGTCTACTTTCGTTCTCTCATTCCTGGCACTGGGCAACATTGTCGCTGCTGCGCAGACACCTGCCTGCCTTCTTTCGGTTGTAGGGTACGCTTGATCCGATCCTTGAAATGTGATATTGGCGAAGGGACCATTAGCTGATACCTCCGACAACAGGGCTCAGAAGAATCCCGCCGACCTCAAGGCTGTCTGTGTTACCAATGGCGATGATGTGCAGAAAAAGATCGCGGGCACTTGTGGTGATAGCGAGCAAGCGGCCCTGACGTGGTTCGCTGATACCTGCGACGCTGCAGGCTACAAAGTTGGTATGTTGTTCAGGGCGCATCAAAGCGCGTCGCGGGATTTCAGAATGATAAATTGGCCACATCATTAACGACACATTTCTTAAGATATCAAATCCTCTACGACTACCTCTGAGTCCGCTACCGGAACTCCCACTAAGGGCTCGGCATCTAACACCGGTTTCGTCACTGCTACTGCGACTGGCTCTTCTAGCTCTGGGGAGAGCAAGTCCGGAACTTCTAGCTCCAGCGCTGCGTCAACTTCCCAGACCGTCTCAGCTGGCTCGTCTGATCGACAGGTCTCCGCAGCAGCCTTTGCGGCTGTCGTCTTCTTCGGTTTTGCTGCGACCCTGTAGGGGTGTGATCTATACGAAATGTTCATCTGATCGACAGTTGTACTGCGACATTTGGGAATCGTCTTTTTATTGCTTCATTTTTGTTCTGTCCATTCTCGTTCGAGTCATGGATTGACTCTGGACTGCCTCATAGAAGAGCACACATATCTGTACAAACAGAGATTATTTCTTATCCTCCGTAATAACATCCTGCATGATCTGATGTTCCGGTGAAGTATCATCGAAAACAAGTCTTATTTCATGGTGTCAATAAGGGAGCATCACGAACACTAAACAAGCAATCCTTTACTATGTATCACAGATCACGTGACTGCGCTTCTGCGCGTTCCCGGCCCACCGTAGTTCTGACAAATCTAGGATTGATTATGTTAACTAACTACAAAGGATGCAGTATCTTCAAGGGGATACCATTTAGTCCAAACACGAAAATTCGCGTCAATACTCACGAGGGTACGCGTTCGCCCTGGCGACATATCAATACCTCTGCCCCTCCGACTTCTTTTCCTCTCATGTCTCCCTTCGATCCCTTTACTCAAAATCCTTCTCTTAGATTACGACCCTTTCGTTCATTTCTCCATCCTTTAGATTCAAGAGTTAGCATTTGGGTACCTTTCTCACCTCCTGATATAATATTATACCCCGCTGCACATTTGTTCCTTCATCACCCTCAACCTCGAGTCCTCTAATATCAGTCACAATGTTTGTCTACAAGAGAGGTAAGAACGGGATGATTTAGATTCTCTTTACCCTAGTTCATTACAAGAAGTCTTCGACTCTTCCTGGCGGACTGGCTTCTTGCCACTGGACATCGGACTCTTGCTGACATGCGAAATCTTTAGACGGACGCAAAGAACGCGTACAGTTCGACAAGATCACTGCACGTGTATCAAGACTGTGCTATGGTCTTGACCCGGAACACGTCGATGCTGCTGCTATCACGCAGAAGGTCATCTCTGGTGTCTACCAGGGTGTCACCACTGTTGAGCTGGATAACTTGGTATGGCTTAGAACCATTCAAATTATGGAAGACAGCTGCTTATTCGTCGTTCCTTTCACAGGCTGCCGAGACTGCTGCGTACATGACCGTCACTCACCCCGATTATGCCATCCTAGCTGCCCGTATAGCCGTGTCCAACCTCCACAAGCAAACCAAGAAGCAGTTCTCTCTGGTCATCTCGGATCTGTACCACTATGTCAACCCCAAGAACAAGCAACCCGCGCCAATGATCTCGAAAGAGACGTATGAAATTGTCATGAAACATGCTGATGAGCTCAATTCTGCTATTGTTTACGATCGTGACTTCAACTACAACTTTTTCGGCTTCAAGACACTCGAGCGGTCCTACCTGCTGCGAATCAACGGCAAGGTTGCTGAGCGTCCGCAGCACTTGTTGATGCGTGTTGCGGTTGGCATTCATGGCAACAATATCGAAAAGGCAATTGAGACCTACCATCTCATGTCCCAGAAATACTTCACTCATGCTTCTCCTACTCTGTTCAATGCTGGTACTCCCCAGCCCCAGCTGGCGTCTTGCTTCCTCGTCGATATGAAGGAGGATAGCATTGAGGGTATCTACGACACCCTTAAGACTTGTGCCATGATCTCGAAGACCGCCGGCGGTATCGGCCTTAACGTTCACCGCATCCGTGCCACAGGCTCCTACATTGGTGGCACCAACGGTTCTTCTAACGGTATTGTTCCCATGCTTCGCGTGTTCAACAACACTGCCAGGTATGTCGACCAGGGAGGAAACAAGCGCCCTGGCGCTTTTGCTATTTACCTCGAGCCTTGGCATGCCGATGTCTTCGAGTTCTTGGATCTTCGCAAGAACCACGGTAAGGAGGAAGTCAGAGCCCGTGATCTGTTCTACGCTCTGTGGACCCCTGATCTGTTCATGAAGCGAGTTGAGTCCAACGGTGACTGGACTCTGTTCTGCCCTAATGAAGCCCCTGGCCTGGCAGATGTTTATGGTGACGAGTTTGATGCTCTTTATGAACAGTGAGTTTGCGCCGTGGTCACCAGTCATTTGGGTATGTGCTGATTGTGAAACAGATACGAGAAAGAAGGCCGTGGCCGTAAGACCATCAAGGCTCAAAAGCTTTGGTATGCTATTCTTGAGGCTCAGACCGAGACTGGCAACCCCTTCATGCTTTACAAGGATGCCTGCAACAAGAAGAGCAACCAGAAGAACCTGGGAACTATTCGCAGCTCCAATCTTTGCACGGAGATCATTGAGTACAGTGCTCCTGACGAAGTTGCTGTCTGCAACCTGGCTTCTCTCGCGCTTCCTACCTTCGTCGACGCGGCCCGTGGAGAGTATGACTTCGGCAAGCTGCACGAGGTTGTGCAGGTCTTGGTTCGCAACTTGAACAAGATTATTGACGTGAACTACTACCCTGTTCCCGAGGCCAAGAAGAGCAACATGCGGCATCGCCCCATTGCTCTTGGTGTCAATGGTTTGGCCGATGCCTTCCTTGCCCTGCGTCTGCCATTCGACTCTGCCGAGGCCAGACAGCTAAACATCCAGATTTTTGAGACCATCTATCACGGTGCTTTGACTGCTTCGTGTGAGCTGGCCAAGGAGTTTGGTCCTTATGAAACCTACGAGGGCTCCCCCGTCTCTCAAGGTATTCTCCAGTATGACATGTGGGACAGAACCCCCACGGACCTCTGGGACTGGGATTCTCTGAAGACGAAGATTGCCCAGCACGGTGTTCGCAACAGTTTGTTGGTGGCACCGATGCCCACTGCAAGCACCAGCCAGATTCTGGGCTTCAACGAATGTTTCGAGCCTTACACCTCGAACATCTACTCTCGCCGTGTTCTTGCTGGTGAGTTCCAGGTTGTCAACCCCTGGCTTCTCAAGGATCTTGTCGACCTTGGTCTGTGGTCGGACAACATGAAGAACCGTATCATCGCAGATGGTGGTTCCGTTCAAAACATTCCCAACATTCCCGCCGACATCAAGGCGCTCTACAAGACCGTGTGGGAAATCTCCCAGCGTACCATCTTGCAGATGGCCGCCGACCGTGGTGCTTTCATTGATCAGTCTCAGTCTCTCAATATTCACCTGAAGGAGCCTACCATGGGCAAGCTCACCAGTATGCACTTTGCTGGGTGGAAGATGGGTCTGAAGACTGGAATGTACTACCTGCGTACCATGGCTGCCTCCGCTCCCATCCAGTTTACTGTTGATCAGGAGCAACTCAAGGTTGCCGATACCAACGTTGCTCGGGCCAACGCTGCCTACAAGAAGAGGGCCGCTGGGTCCGTGTCTACCACATACTCTGCTGTTCCTCGTACAACGAGTGCTCCGCTCAACGGTCACAGCGAGGACGGCAGCCCGCGGGCTCTTGCCGCCGATATCACCGCAGATAGTGAAACCGTGGTGAACGGCTCCCAGGAGGAAGATGATGAGCGGGAAAGCGGCGAGCGTGAGAGCGACATTTACTCTCAAAAGGTCCTTCAGTGCAGCATCGAGAATAAGGAGGCTTGTCTGATGTGCCAAGGTTAGTCGGGGAGGTTTATGATAATTGATTGCGGGCGCTAGAGGCGCTTCTATTTGGTACAGATTCTGATGTATTTATATGATGAGCTTGATGGTCTTTTCTTATGTTCGCTCTTTTCTTGCAATACTGGCAACTTTTCATGTTACTCTTCATATGCTGTTTGTTTGGAGGAAAAAGGGTTTTCCTGTACTTAGATCCTGACTGGTCGATTGGTACGGTGCAGCAGGTTGTCGTGTCTCGACCAGGATGAATAGGAATGAATTTCTTTGAAGTCCATGACACACTCTTTCCTCTTTTGTGCTCATATTCTTAAGTAATGATGTGTCAATATATGGAGTGGGTCAGACGCGATGGGATGCTCGGAATATGAGGTGGAAGGATTTTGCATCCAATCGTGCAAATAGCCACTGAGGGCAGACTGGAACTACCGAGTACGGATCAAGCGAGTGGCTCCTAGGTACTCCGTATTTCAGCCAGAAAATCTACATACTAAGACAATGCTGATGGATCACAAATCCTGAAGCTTGGTCGATTTAATTAAGAGCTGCAGGGACGAGTGTCCAGACTCGACGCTAGACCGTCTAGATTTTTCTGCCATGAACGGCCTGGAGGTCAAGGCTCGTGAATCTTGCCAAGTCCAGTCTGTCAACAGTTGCCACAGACAGACAGATCCGGTGGAGAGTTTTCCTGTTTTCTTTGATGAGGGGCGACATGGAATATCGTCACTGTCAGGATCTGTAGGGTGTACAGAGTACTCCGTGGAGTTGCTACAAAGAGACACACAGACACACACAACCTCCTCCCCCACCTCCTCTAAAAGAAAAAAAATTTTCAAAATAAATGTACTGAACGAGGATGAAATAATCATTGATCTGAGTCGAGACCTGTGAGAATCAGACCATTTCTCGTCTTTGTCAAGGATATTCTGCCTTTGAACAGTCCCGGTCAAAGTCCGACAGTCCCGCCAGAATAGTTCATTGGACAGTTGTGTTGTCAAGTCCTGATTCTGGAGCCTGGATGCCACCAGTCGAAAATATGGAGTAAGAATGACGATGAGTCTGCGAAATCTGAGCCAGTTCATCGGTTACATCCACAAATCACGATGGTTGCTGCTGCGTTGTTGTCTCAATTGGCAAGTGGCAGCCAGGGTTGGACTGGTGTGCCTGGGTGGCGTGCACTGCGTCTTGTACCTGACCAATACTGCTGGTCTTTACAGGGACCACCTAAGAACACATGTCAGACGGTCGAAAAGTGGCCGGATACCAATCGGATCTTCTTGTCGTTGGTTCTGCTGTGTGCCTCATTACGAGTGGTCGGGTTCGTATCCCTGAACCCTGGTGGTGGAGATTGAGGCCTCTTCTTTCGAGAGATAGACTCGGATCGTACGGAAAGAGAATCTCTGTCCAGTCCAACATCAAGCAAGTTACAGATTTGATTCATGTTCAAGAACAAAAAAAGATCATACACAGCCTCCCTTGTTTCATTATTGTGCGAAAGGATTGTGGCTGAGGCTGAGGCACATCCAGATTCAGGCACCGAAGGGAAGTCTTTTGTTAGCGGAAAACAGACGCGACAAAGGAAATGAATTAGTTGCCTCACTCGGCCAATCATAAACAGTAAGCTTACCACTCCTAGCTTTATTAGGCTTAGAGCTAATGAGAGTTAACACCAAGCAGGGGTGCCTCACCGGCGGCTTTCCCTTTGAGCCAATCAGCCAATCGCTCTCAATTCCTGACGCCTCCAAATTCAGGTACCCGCTCAGCCTGAAATTCCATCCCAATCACACGCCATCCGGGCATCTTACTAGTGGACATCGACAGATCAGAAAGTATCTAGTCGTTGCGTTGGTCGGCAGAGTCAGGTACCAGGGCATCTGTGAGATGGACAGCTTTGCTGATGTCCCAAGGTTGCAAGCTCTCCCCATATGACCAAAAACCAGAGCAACCTATTACTGGGAAACGGCCCGGCCCAAGAATGCTGGCAACCACTTCATGGTATTTCCTACGGTACCTGTATCTCATCTCCAACAGTGTGGACCCTGGGGGGGGGGGGGGGGAAACTGGGAGAGAACGGTGGGTGGGTGGGACCAGACAACTCTAAAAAGCAGTCTGATTTGTCCAGCAAAGCCCACCACACATTGCAGACAGGCTGTGATCCATGGGTTCATCCCATGCTGGCCAGTATGCATGAATTTTATCGCTGGTCCACTGACCCACTGGGCCCGCAGGTAATAATCGGTAAAGAGGTATTATTCTGTGTGGGTAATGAGAGTATCCTAAGTAGACCCTACTCCGTACTCCGTAGTTAGTAGGATGTCCCTTAGTGAGAGGCTAACGATTACCCTGCTCTACCTACCCTGTTCTGGTTAGTCTGATACTGTTGGAGAGTCTCGACTCTCGATGCGTGGAAGACATGGCATGGCGACTTGCTTGTCCATTCCCAGGTGGATTCTCTTAAATACCGAATATCTCCCTCCGCGCCAATTTCCCTCTCTCTTCTCCCCTTCGTCTACCACCACAGTCCTTCCCTTTGACAGCTTCCTGTCGTTCCTTCATTCCAGTCTCCAGCCTTCTCTTGGAGCATCAGTCAATACTTCATACTGCTGCGCAGTCTCTGTCTGTCTATCTGACTGAACCCCATTCCTTCCTTCACTCAATCGATCTATCTATCAAAGAGCCGGTCGATAAATCCGACAAACCACCTTCTCTACAAAAGAACACTCGCGTTGAATCACTTGGATTTCAATATCATACTCTCGCAATGGCTCCCATCTTCAAGTCCCTTGCGCTCGCTAGCGCTCTTTTCGCTGCCATCAGCTCGGCCGCCCCTGTCGACCTTAACAAGCGTGAAATTGACGTGGTGTGGACAACGGTCACCACTGTCGTCTGGACCACTGTCGATGTGACCACTACCATCTACCCTACTCCGCAAGCTCCCACTCCCCCTGTCGTAGAGTCTACCCCGACCCCGACCCCGATCCCGTCATCTGCTCCCGAGCAGCCCGAGCCGATCGAGGCCTCTACGCAGCCCGAGACCCCTGAGCCTCAGCCCACCCAGCCTTCTGTCGCTGCATCCACCCCTGTCGCTGCTGCTGCTGCTGCTCCTGTTGCTCCTGCTGCTCCCGCCCCTGAAGAGCCGGCTCCTCAGCCTGCGACCGCCGCGGCTCCTTCCACTTCTACTACTACCCAGGCTGCCCCGTCCGCCCCGCCAGCTGCTAACAGCGGCAGCAGCGGCAGCACTGAAAAAGCCGCGAGCAGCGGATACAGTGGCCCCTGCTCCAAGGACTCCCCCTGCGTTGGCGAGCTCACGTACTACGATACGGCTACCTCCGCCAGCGCTCCCAGCAGCTGCGGTCTGACCAACGACGGCTTTTCCGAGAACGTGGTCGCGCTTCCCGTGGGCATTATGACCGACGCTGACTGCGGCAAGACCGTGACCATCACCTACAACGGTATCACCAAGACCGCTACCGCCGTGGACAAGTGCATGGGTTGCAAGCCCACCGATCTCGACGCGTCCCGGCACTTGTTCGGCGAGCTGGCTGATTTCGGTGCGGGCCGTATCGACGGCATGTCATGGTACTTCAACTAAAGCGTTGATCGCTTTCTTGAATTAAAGGACTGTAGCGTGTTCGGACTCGAGACAATTTTCTCTTCCTCCGTTTCTTAAACTTATCTTTCTTCCACTCCTTCTTTTGACCTTTTTATACCAAGAGGATCCATGGGCCACGTTGGCCTCGTGGATCGATTTATGTTCATGTTCATAAGACATTGGTCATCTTATTCAAGAGCCAAATGCTTTTTTCTTTCTTCATGTTGCAATGAGACAAGCGAGGAAGCAGCAAATCCGAGCACGCAATTGCTTTCATTTCCGGCCAGCTCGGAATGGCAACTGCAGTCCTTTGTTCTCCTTTTTTTTCTTCTACGACGACTACGATCAGATCAACGGCACGGGAAACACACACAGAGACACGGGAGGTCTAGGCGCGACAGGTTGCGATACGATTGGACGAGAATCAGGAAATTCCGCCCATCATCATATCCAACGAACGGCAGTTTATTCTTAGATTAGGGAACCATGTTTTACCGTTTACGAACAATGATAGAAAAGTTTGTTCTTTAGTTTAGGCAACAGCCTTTTCACCTGACCTTGGTCTTGAATTGTCACTTGTTAAGCCTATTTAGGTTTGATTTGCGAGGCTGAGGAGATTGACTAAGCCTTGGTCTCGGAGGTCGCTTCACAGCCCTTCTCGTATTGATCATCAGGGGCATGATCACCATGTCTAATCCTGACGATCACGTGTCCTTTCCGTACTCCGTATGTACGGACCCCGGAGTAGATACTAATCCTCCATAAAGTTCTATATGCTAGACAATGGAACAATTAGATATACAACTCAGCCCGCTGCAAAAGCAGCCCCTGCAAGTCATCCGTCTCCCGTATCACGGCCGCCAACACCCTCGCCAGCCCGCCCTCCTCGCACTGCGGCCGAGCGGAATGCACGTGCCCTTGCGGGCCAGGGACAGGGGCAGGGGCAGGGGCAGCACCGCCGAGGTTCAGGCCATCGCGCTTGGTAATGGACAGGGTGCCGCGCACACAGCCGTACTGCGCGTCCGCGGCCCGCAGCGAGCAGATCTGGTCGCGTGCGCACTGCGCGTTGCATTCGGGCACTTTGAACCCCCGCGTTGTGCGCGCCCACCACGCCTGGAAGACGGAGTTGTCGGTTTCCATTAGGGCCGTGACGTTGTGCCAGAAGGCCGGGGTGAGTTCTGCGGTTGGGTCGGTGACGGGTGGGCTGAGGAGGGAGCCGTAGCTTTCCTTGGCGGAGTAGTATTTTGTCCATTGGGGCGTGGTCTCGGTGGAGACGTCTGCGGTGTAGACGGTGTAGTCTAGCACGGCGAAGGTTACCGGGTCGATGTCGTAGATGCGAAAGGCTGGGGGCCCTGAGGTTGGGGTCAGCGAGGGGGTAATGTACCCGACAGCGGAGGCGGAGTCCGCGCTTGGGTGCGCCGGGTCGGCGTAGGAGACCTGGAAGAGGTCGGTGTGCGTGTGGCCGAAGAACAGGGCGGCGATGGTCGCGTCGTACCGCTGGATGATCTGGTCGAGGTAGTGCGAGTAGTCGTGTAGGGTGTCGGTACCGCCCGTGGGAATGTGCGCGATGAGCCAGACGCGCTGGCCCGCCGTCTCAGCGGCCTGCAGCTCGGAGATGAGCCAGGCGAGTTGCCCGTTCGGATCGTACTCCATCGGTTCCTGGTAGGCGTAGAAGTTGTACGTGTAGTAGAAGACGCTGTTATATGAGATGATGCGCAGCTTGCCTCCCGGGTGGATGGCCGAGTAGGATCCGAACTGGTCGGTCGCGTGCACAACAGGCGCGGACAGCGGACCGCCCACCAGGTTCGTCCAGTCTTCGGCGAGGGCGTCGTAGGCCCATTGTGGGTTGTGGGAGACGGGAATGCGCTCGGAGGGGAAAAGGTTGACGGGCGCCGTGTCGTGGTTGCCCAATGCGGCGTAGACAAGACCCAGTTGGTCCAGGAGGCTGTATGTCGCATTGAGATCGTGCAGTACTTCGCTCTGGTTGACCGACCAGACATCATGGGGGACCACGTCCCCGGTGTAAATGGAAAAGGCCGGGTCCATGGCGGCGATGGCGGCCACCATGCTCTCCTCGAGCCGAAGCGGCGGGTCGCATTTGGGATGACCGTACGGACCACAGGGGAACGAGGTCTTTCCGGGGGCGTCATTCTCGGTATACGCACGGCAACAGATGGGCTTCGAACATTCGTAGTTGGCGCCGGTCTCGTAGGCGCGATCCACGTGCGTGTCGCTAATATGCGCGACCCGGATCGGAGGCTGGCCGCTCGGAGGGGGGCGATGCGTCGAAGGTTTGGGGACGGGGAAGGAGATGTTGTACGGTCGAACCTCGGGATAGTCGCAGAGGCCAACCATCTGCGAACAGAACGATTTCGAGGTATGCGAGCCCACTTTGAGCTGCTTAAGCACGTAATATGCGGCGGGGCCTTCGGCTCTGATGATACCGGCGCAGACGTCGGGGTCCTCCACCTGACAGAGCGGTCAGGTTCTCGGGTGCCAAAGTCTCATCTACTATGCTTGACAATGACATACCTTGGCCAGCTTGCACACATCGGTCAGGACATTGATCAAGACATTTGGTCCGAGACCAGCGACCAGCTTGAGAGTTCCCAACAGTCCCTGTCACAGATCAATCACTATCTAGATTTCTCGGAGTTTGTAAGTGAGAACAGACCTCGCAACCAGCACAGGTGATTGTCTCTTTGATTTCATCCCAAATCGTGTTGGCCCAGTTCTCGCCAGAGGCGCCGTGAATGGTAGCCAGTGAGGCGAGAGCAGCAACAAAGGTGGTCAATCTCATTCTGATCCAAGCTGTCCAAGCAAGTTAGCCCGAATATTCCAGGCGCGGATCCCTGCTTATGGCAAGATATTTCAGCTGAGCAGGCCGTCATCTTATAGATGGCTGTCAGTCAGGTGGAGCCTCGTTTAGCAGCGTTTCTGCAGAAAGTCGTCCACAGAATTCTGCGGACCGGCGGAATCCGGCACAGATCATAGCTGTGAAGAGCGCAAAGGTTACATCGGTAAGTCTTGGTTCCCTCGGAGGTAGAGAGTCGATTGAGCTGGGAAGTCGAGATTGATAGCAGCTTAGCAGCCATGTGATGGAACAACATGCGGGGGCAGGAGACATTCTCCACATTAGAGTCGCATCTCGAGGCTAAGCGAGGATCTCTGCATCTTCATCGCAGATTCATGACTAACAGTAATCAGATGATTAATCTGAACCTGCGATGTTCTATGTGCAGAAGAGGAAAATTCCCTGGTCGTCGAGGAGTGATGGGATGAACATATCGTCCAAGCGATCGATATGCGGTCTTTTGAGAAATGTCCGCCATCAACCGAAAATATCAGAGGCATTTGTCCAATGAGACACAGACAATGCTGATGAGAGCGATGTCAGATATCATTGACCAAATCACTAAACAATGAAATCGACTTATTCCTGGTCCCTGAGTATTGAAGACTACCAACCGGGCGTCCAAGGCATCAAAGCGGACTCACCTACTCGATGAAAACCGATCCATATCCACAATCTTAATGACGAGTTATACTCGAGAGTCAACCTTCATCTAGTCCTGCATATGTTGCTTCTATCCCTGAGTACCCAGAGATCATTCGATAATCTGCAAGGGAGTTTTTTCCGAAGCGCAGCAGATCCAAGTGGTGATGCGGATTGATGGAAAGAGGGGAACGATGCTCTTCCCCTGGAACAGGAAGATTAGTATTAAGCTTTCCTCTGCGAGGTGAGGCCAGTTTTATGGGGCGGATTCGTCGGTTTCCTGTGGCTGATGGATCATGGACGAGTAACGATGAGGGAGGCGTTTGGTTCCATAACACGCAACAAGAGAAACTTCAACGGCGGCATGGACGGGGAAAAGGCCGCATGGGATATTGAGAGAAAGCAATAACTGGGGTAGACTAGTTCAGGGCGTGGGAAAGATTGTTGGAGATGAAGCCTTTTGAAAGGTTGAATTGAAGGATCTGAGACATGGCTCATGATTACGTCGCTGGTATAGAGAGGTAGAGAGTTCCATTATTATTATTTAGTGACATGACCATAATAATATCTTAGAAGTTAGGCATCATTCTGGTACTTAGCATAAGGCAGACAGTCCAAGTTAAGAACCTAGGATAGAGAACTCTATAGCAAAAGTATCTCCCATCAACACCTCCCGAGTAATATGTATGAGAAATGATCAATGCTCATGTTAAAGAATGACAAATATGCGGCTCACATTCCGACGATCGCCCTTCCATGTTTTCTTTCCCCTGCATGCCCAGAAATATTATTATTGTCCTATTCCCCGTCAGGATGGTCAAAGTCCAAGAATCCAATGTTTTTTCCTCTTCACCAAAAGAAATCACCTCATTAATAGCATCAATTATATAGACTGCCTCTAAATATGTTACTTATCCCTATACATAGGAATGGTTCTGTCGACCCACGCGAGCCACACAAATAAAGTTGCTGGTTTGACCAAGTACTACCAATAACTACCACATTTCTCCGCGTGAGGGAATCCCTCTTATTATTGCCCCCCTCACATCCCCAGAATCTTCTCTCTACCCGTCATTTCTCTTCGTTGACTTTCTTTTCCTCAATTTCCCAATTTCCCAATCTCTCAATCTCTCAATCTCTAATCTGTCGATCTCTTCGCCTCCCATCTATTATTATTGCTCACTCCAACTTCAGTCCAATTCCTCTTTTGCACTCTTTCCTCGATATCTCCGTCACCCTTCCGCTTTTTCTCCCGCCCTTCCTTTCCACCCGCGACCACTTCAAGAGTTATTAGTTTCTACGCTCTTCGCCGTCTTCGGATTCCTTCAACTGCTGGCCAGTCGTCCCGCTTTCCCCCTTCCGAACTTGCGATTCGGTGACAATGGGGTCGTTTCGCAGTCGAGACTTGAATATATATCCTCCGTCTGGGAGCTTAATTCTATAGATCGCTTTTGAGCGGGTCTAAAACCTTCGTGGGTTGGTTCTGGGTCTGGAGGCCAGAGGA